AGCTGTTGGCCCTAACGGGGATACAACACGTCACCGAACGACTTCCCTCCCAGGCTCTCCGAAGCGCCTGAGTAGCAGGCGGGACACATTAGTTGTTGTACCAGTGCACAAAAAAGTGGGCCATTCCACAAATCATGCCATCCAGATGAGGCTCCCCAATGTCACGGTAAATCGCCAAAGCTTGCAGCCCACAGTCAATTGCAGCAGGGGTGTTCTTCTCCCCCAAGTACGCGAGGCTGCTTGCGTGCAGAGCCATCCCCTGCCTCTTACGATCCCCGACCTTGCACACTCCGTACATGACTGGAAGCATCATCACAATCGTCTGCATCAAGAGTGTTCTGTCTTTTCGCGATAGCCGGAGCAGTTGCACCTAAACAGAAAGTTTACCTTCTCGGGCGAGGCACCCGTCCGAAGAGCTCGTGCGCCTGCTTGGCATACTTGTGCATGTTGTCTGAATCTTGAAACTTGTGCTGCACGTTCACCTCGGTCCAGACTCAGTCCACTTCAACCACATGTTCTCTCGAGCTGCTGAGAAAGAGTGAGATAGAGTAGGCAACAGGTAGTAGCTTCATGCAAGGAGCCATCATCAAAACAGCACGTGCTTGCCAGAAGGTGTCGCCCAGCTGCTCGAAAAGCCTGGAGAAACAGGAAAAGTGGACATTAACAGGCGCTCCACCGACAAAGTCGCTTCCCCTGCGAGCTCCTGATGGATTCATCGCACCACTTCTTCGACTCCGTACGCATCTTGTGCGTTGAGCGAGTCACGTTGACCTCCACCAGCGTGTACAGCAATACCGCTTCTGCCTAAGCTCTTTTGATCAAAACAAATAACTCCTCTCCTTCACGGACAGACCATGAGCAAGCATGCTTCCCCTAACCATACCCTCCAGCCGGACAACACAACTCGCAAGAATTCCACGGCAGCTGCATCATGGCATATTGGGCGTAATGGAGCGAAGGGGCATCGGAACAACACCACAATCTAGGCGCTTGGTAAGTTTGGGTACGACCCTGGCGCTGCCTTGATGTCTCCAGCAGCTTTGGCTCGCGAAAGCTCGATTTCGCAGAGGAGGTCGATTTCACTCGCCTTCAGCGTCTCTCGCAGTGCAACCGAGAACATTCCAGCAACACCGAAGCCATCAGGAACCGCAAGACCCTCGCGGCCTTCAGCACTACCTCACCAGTCCTTGCTCCGTACTCGCCTCAAGTAGCTCGTCATGGACCCTTTCGAGCATGGACACGCTCGATTTCCACCAAGTTGGCCTTCATCTTGCTTTGCCAGAATCTCGATCCGGAAGGCCTGCTGGAGGGTCGGTTCTTTTTTTCGCAAATTCCACATGCCCCCCAATAGAGGGCCTCCGCTTCGCTCGCAAGGTCTCCGGTCTCCAGGAAGTACTCCCGCGCAACCAGCGCCTGCAACTTTCTCTTTCTTGCTGTGGTTACTAAGACCGGGGCAGGGGCGATAGCGTAGAATCTCTGAAGATCGGTTTCGGGCCTGCTCGCTTGATTCCTCCAGCTTGCCTAGTGTCAACAGCTTCTCGGCTTCATCGAGGATGGCCCGCGCTTCGAGGTCTGGGCTGTCACCGGCCTCACCTGATTATCATGCACATGGCTTTTGTGATATGAGCGTCCTACACGTGCAGGAGCCTTTGGGCGCCATGAACCCATTCACGCTTTTGCTGGCAGACCTCCAAAGCAGCCGAGCGAGTTGATTGCCAATAGTCGAAAGTGCACGCGAAGCTCAAGCTCGAGGGCGGCACGGCGCCCCAAAGGCCCACGGGACTCGCCTACGCGGCCTACGCCATCACAGGCCATCCTTCCTGGGTCCAGGCAGTCCCTCGAGCCAGGAGCGCAGAAGATTCGAGCTCGAGGGTGCTCAAAGTGGCAGTGGCAGCGGGAAGGAAAGGGTGGCAGGTTGAGACTCAATACTTTTTGCGCCGTAACGATCGCGAATGCCCTGTTCATCGCCTGGGTTTAGCTGTTCAGATTTCCAGCAAGGCACCAAAATCAGCTCGTCACTACTTATCCCACACGATGTCAAGCTACCAGTTAGATGCGTCAAGCTAGTTCTGCTGCGTGAAGATGGGATGAGACAAATCTAACTAACCGATGCATCCGTCGACAAAGACTAACCGACCCGGCCCCGTTTCACATCTCATCCATGTAGCCTGCAAAGCCTCACGTGGCAGCTTGTCTCAGCGCTGGCATGCTTTGCACTTTCCGCAATGGCCTTCTTCAGGAGGCTGGTGCGGCACCTTCCTCACCTTCCTTTGGTGTGGCATCGGCCATCAGCTTGTTAATCTCGGTGTCCTGCATCGGCTCTCAGTATTTGATGGCTCTGGGCACATGCCATTCAGATTGCGAAGGAGCTGCCGAGAACGAGGCAGCACTCAGTGCCAAGATGTGGTCAGTAGTCAGAAAATTGGAGTAGAAACACGCGAACTTTCTCCTTCAGCATGCGGAACTTCACCTGAAGTGCAAGAGACAAGGCTTTGCAGAATTATCTATTCCTGGTCAAAGGAAGAGCAGGAAGCCATTTCAGTCGAGGGGCTTGGCCTTCTGGCGTCTTGTAAACAATTCCGAATTCAAGCCTCTCGGCGGTTGGCGAAGCCGTGTCCATGGTCTTGACCTCGACAATGATTGGTCTGTGACACTTGCATGATCCTTGCAAAGTGGCTGCAGCGAGAGTTCAGGGGCGTCACTAGCACTTTTGCCGTGAGCTCCAATGCTTCCTGGATCTTCATGCCTATCCGAGTCCGACTGATTGGTGACTGGTCGTCTTGTGCATGTGAGGGCATTTGAGGTCGTGAACCTGGCCGGGCCTGGTTTCCAATCTTGCCGCATGATCTGCATGGCAGTGTTGTTGTTCACACCTTTCCGATGGCTGTTTAAGATGCGGACCACTGCCTGGATGCCCACACACATGACAGGCCTATGGCATAGCCCTTCCAACCACTGAAGTTGCCCGAAGGGTCGGTGTGGTACAGCCTCGTGTGCTCATTTCAGACAGTGCCAACAACAAAACTTTCAAACTAGGGCTCGTGGTGCACTTAGGCTTCTGCTGGAAGCCGTGGTGGACATCATAGCCAGCTACGAGGAAGGACACTCCGAACGGCCGCAGGCCACCGAACTGGGTGTAGCCCTCTCGGACCATAGCAGTACACGGCTGCTGCAGCTGGCACACGCCATGTACCTGCCTGCTTGTAGTCGCAGATGGACGTGACGAGCTGCTCTACAGGCATTGGCTCGGAGAATGAATAGGCCTCGTCCAGCGAAACATTCGACAAATGTGGAGCCACTCAGCACAGCCCAGCAAGAGCGCTGAACACAAGCCTGTGGCCAAAGACCAAGACAGTCGACGAACAACATAAACGGAAACACGAAGACGTGCCCCAAGGCAGGACACCCTAAACTCGCCTGACCATGGATGCAGCTAGCGCTTGACACAATTTTGGGCCCCGGCATGCTGCTGCGCACTCAGACGCAGCCTGTTGATGAGGATGTTCCTTTGCGTTCGGCTGGGTGCGGCCGATGTTAAGCTATCGCAACAAGCGATGGTGGCTGAGCGTGGCACGCATCCGAAGTAATGCCTGCTACCGCACCTTAGCACAGAGGCAAAGGTCTCGGGGTCGAGCAACGATAACCGAACGTAAGGCACGGGCAGAACATCGCATCGTCCAGCCTAGAATCGAGCTCCCGTAGAAAAGAGGCTGAGCTTTTTCTTGACATGCGCTTAGAGGCTGGAAGAGCTTCTCGTGCTGCTTCGCTTGGTCCAAAAGCTTCGAAGTCGTCTTCTTCTCTCCTGCAAGGACCACGCCATCCTGCGAGCCCAGCGACAGACTATCCCTTGTGGCAGGGAGAGAAGACACCCGACAGCCGGCCTCAGCGAGGACGCCGACGGTCGAACCCGCTAAGTTGATAGCTTCCATGGCATATTCGACCTGCAGGCTTACTCTCCGGTATTTGGCCCGGATTTACGATTTACTGCTGCAACTACAAGATGCCTGATATAAGCGGCCCTCAGGCGAAAAGGTGGTAGTTCGCGAATCGTAGCGGCGAGCCATGGACCAACCTTTGCTATTGCGAAACTGCGGCACGCCGACGAGCCGGGCAATATAGCAGACCAAGGGCCGCACACGGTGTAGTACGCACCAAAGGCTGTGTAACTCTTTTAGCTACAGCTTCTGCCCAAAAATGAGCCAAGCGAAGGCGGCACCACGGTGCTTGCATCTGAAATGAGCATGGGAAACTGCCGGCATTGATGGGCGGAAAAATACATGGGGGAGTACACCGGCTGACGAAGGAGGCAGTGCTGAAAAATACGTGCGCTCACCCTCAATGTCGTTCATCCTTCGCCTACCCTCTTTGTGCCTCCAATGGCATGCATCCGTCACCACTATCGACAGAACTTCTACGGGGGTAGCTGTAGATCAAAAAGAAGCCACCAAGTACCTGGTGCCTGCCTTTAGCAGCCAGGGATGTGGGAGAGCTGTGCCTTAGACACAAACTTCCTAGCCATGGTTTGGCATCAGCCATCTTTGGAACCATGGCAGCTTGCGACAATCTCTGAAACCCTGTTTGCTACATGAACCTTGAGGACATGAGGACCACTGGACCACAGATCCGGCTGAAACTTCTGTAAACAATTGGAAAATGTCCATCTTGCTCTCAAAGTCACCTTATTCACCTTGTTCTGGCTCGATGTCCAGCACTTCTATGCTGCGCCAAAGGGTTTCGCAGCGAAACGTTACCGGAGGCTCTCAAAGCCGCGATGCTGCGAAAGCGCGAGCAGGGCACCTGTATCGACCTCGATTTCCTCTGGAAATTCTCTGACTGAATCCTATGCTTAAATGTGGGGCAGCTTAACGTCTTTTGGGAAATCAAGGCCCAGATCCGTGCTCGACTTAGCACAGCCAAGATTGAATTAGTCTCTGCCATCATGGCGGTAGCTATATGTCACGAGAATAGTCTGAGAGTCTGCCAGAGGCCAATCTTACACCATGATGCCAGCTATGGCAAAGCAATGCAAATCCTTGCAGCATGCTATCTGCAGCCGCTGGGAACTATGTCCGGAATCAACTGCTGGTTTCCTTCAAGCCCAGGAAACCCTTTGCAGGTCAATCCCCGGTGCTACCAAAGTCGAGGGTGGCGTATGCTGGGCGCAAACTCTGTCCAAGTGGACAGCCCCGACTGATTTAGCAAAGCTTCGAATTCGCCTTTCCTCGCCTCGGCAGTTTACTGGCAAATGCTTTCGGGAGGACACACTGCCACTGGCCAAGCACAGCCAACTCAAAAGCATGCACAAGAAGTCCGCTGTTACACACATACATGTCCTCCTAGGCCAAGCAGCCGTCCCAGCTACTGGCACCAGGCTCCGCCGTGGCGATCTGGCCAGGCGCAAGGCCGCTTGTATCGAAGTGCCTGAAACATCAGGCCGCAGAAATCAAGATCCAGGAAGCTGTCGGGAGCACGAGAAAGGGTCTTGCCTGCGTGTGTTGATGGTCTGGAGATTTGTGGCTGCTCGTCATCGGAAACGGCTGGAAATATCGTGTTGAAGGTTTGGGTGTTTGCCGTTGCTGTGCCGTTCCAGCCGTATTTCAGAGTCGACCTTAGGTCACTTCCAAATGTTGGATGGAAACTCACGTGGAGAGGCCACATATCAACCCTGAGTAGCTCGCAACAGAAGGCACGGCGGTTAGAGGAAACGATCTACCTGTATCAGGTGTATCACTGCCACGCCGCCACGTGCCAGTCAGTGATGCCATGTGGGGAAGATGCTCACCATCAAAGCTGGCAGAAGCCATTGAATGCAGCTTCACCTCGCACGGTGACCACTCGGGGGCTTCATGCTACTCCTGGAAACTCTGGGACTTACAGTGGGCCCTGCATCGGTGCCGGCCGGTGGATAGCCCAGACGCCTTCCGGCCAAGCGGGCGGCTGAGGTTGTAGTGCCAGCTGCTGCGCCCGGCCCGACCGAAATCTCCGCTCGGCTCGGCCAAAGCCATCCGGAGCCTGGTCCCCAACTGCTGTTACTAGCATTATATGCCTGAAGAACAGTGCCCAAAGTAGGCATTGGTGCCAAGATGCTCAGGATTGGGAGCCGCAAGCACGAAGTCGCGCGGCTTGCGCATGAGTTCGCGGTTTGTGGTGGTCACCTGAAGCAGATATCGGGCCATAGGACGGAAAAGTCACTGACCGCAACAGATCCGGTGCGACACGTAAGTTCCTTTTTCGTTTCGACTCTTGACTGGAAAGCCTTTTCTCGTCCAGGACCGTCTCTTGCCTGTGCCACGGTAAAGACAAGCGGCATTTTTGAAGGAACCTTATATTGGAAACGGAGCAGGCTTCCTCTGCGACTGAATGATCGGAGTCTTACCTCGCTAACGTTGGGCGGCAGTGCAGGACCAGTGCTGGATTTGTCCTGGACTCCAAACAAACCGCGGTTGCAAATCTGCAAGCCCAGCGACTCTTGGCTGGCAGATCATAGGCTTGCTTTATGCCAGAGATGCCATCGTTGCTGGAGCGCAGCGTCTCCTGGCACAGGTTACCGCAGCTAAGAATAGTTGAGGGCTGCGACCGATTCCTACCGCTGACCGCCGAGAGAGACTGGAGCCTGCCAAAAGATGTTGAACTGCTGCGGTCCACCAGAAGGTTCGTAGTTGGAAATGCCACGTCGTGCCATTGCAAGCCTCTGGCCCCTCGATGTGAGAATGCTTGCTGCCTGGCCTAGTTGCAGGATATGTGTTCTGCATGGCAAGGACATTTAAGTATAAATGGTATAAAGTCCACATGACACATGTTGGCATGCCGGAGTCGCTACGGCTCACTCCCTTAAGCCAACCAACTTGTGGCTAGACTGGACTGCTACTCCTGGGCACGCAGTAGACACTGCACAAGCCAACCACACGGCGTCTGTTTGCATCAGAACCAGCGATTCTGCTGCGCATTCAGCTGCTTCGCTAAGTCCAGGAACTGGTCGGCATTGTCGGCTAATCGACGCGAGCTGTCTGCCAAGCTTGAAATCTTGTCTCCTCGCTCGACGGCGTTTGCAGTGGCTCCAGCTAGTGCTTCCCGGACATCTGCGGCTGCCCGTCTGGTTGTCTGAGTCTGTGGGGCACGCTGCGGCTGTGACCGCCCTTGCGACTGCCAGGCCGGAGCCAACCCCCTTCCCTGATCCAATAGATTCCCATCCACCTCGGCCGGAAGGGGCTCTGCAGGGAGAAGGCAATCGCGCATAGTCTTCTGGGTGCGCCCGAAAAGTGTGCCAAGAATGCCCGCTGGCTTGGTGCCCCTTTCCGGAGCATCAGGTGCTGCAGGCATCCCGTGCAGCTTCTGCACCAAGTATGCACAGCTAGCTGCTTTCGCAGATGCCTCCAAAGCTCGACATTCCCTCGCCTCTGAAGCACCACCAATCCAAAGTGCCCCAGCATAGTGCAAAACCACGTAACCATCCGAGCAAACTCCCGCGCCTCCAGAAAAACAACCTACCTGATCGCCGTCTGTTGCGTCTGCCTGGCCCTTTAAAGCTTGGGCCGCGCAAGCCCCTACCGGAAGTGACACAATCGAGTGCAAACTAGGCAGAGCCAGGATGTCCAACTGTCCACTTCGGAGGATCGCATAAAGACAAAGCTCGCCGTCAAAATCTACAACCCCAGCCTCCATCGCACGAGTGCTGAACTTGACGCTTTGCCCTGCAGAATGTAGCTTGTCCCCCTCACGCTTGAAGACATTGAGGCCAAAAGATTGGATTGTCAGCAAAATTTCGCTGTTCAGGAAACAACCCAGGAAGGAGCCGCCAGCAAGCTGAGGCAAGCGTGTCTCCCTAATGCGGTTGTCCAAAAGCTTTAAATCATTGGACGGGCCGGCAACTTGTCTTAGTTCACCACTGGAGAAAGCCAGGAGATAGGCTTGTGGCGTGGGCTGCATCGAGTTTGACGCGGCATCCTTCGCCAACAAGTCCAGCTTCAATTTGTTGACATCCATCGCTGGCACCGCCGCATGTGCCGGACTTGATCTGGTCACCTGAAGAATACAATTCGACGCCACAACTGTGTCAAGTGTTTCAACTGGTGGCTGCGGCACCTTCGGCTGAGACACCTCAGCGCTTAGGGATGCCAGCGACTGGGAAAATAGCAACTGCCCACTTGAACAATCGACCACGCAGAAACGTGAAGCAGCATCGACGGACAGAATCTGAAAAGATCTGCCATCGGAGATGATTTGCAGCTGCTTGACACACGCCTCATGCTGTCTCAACCTCATGGAACAAACAAAGCCAGCAGGAAGCTCTGGAGGCTCCGGCGGATGAGCACCGGGACCCGAACCCCCCGTGCCACATTCTTGCGCAGCCAACAGCAGAGACTGCACTTTCCACTCCGCCGCTTCTGCTGGGGAAGGCCTTTGCGCCTCGTTCTGCCACATGAAGAGCACAACTTCACCAGAGCTGCAGCCAGCCACCACGGCACCAGCTGCAAGGTCCAGCGCCACCGCAGTTACTGCGACACCTGGCCCGCTTGTCGCCTCCCCCACTGGAAAAGCCGGGCACGAGTCGACACCATCATAGAAATGGCCCACATGGCCCAGGCCCAGGACTGGGTCCCGCAAGCCCGTGCTAGGATCAAAGCGTGGTCGCCAAGGCAGAGATGCCAGGGACTGGACTGAAAGAACATGCAGAAGGAGAACCGAAGCATGACTGCGCAACCATATCCTGATGCAACCATCTTTGTGCCCACTACACAATAAGCCCTGGCAGCCTCCCGCAAGCAGTGCCCAGCTTTCGACGAAGGCCTCGCAAATCGGCGAAAGACAAGTGCCTTGCACGAAGCTTCGAAAGTGCGCCAAGTGGTGTGCAAACATCATCTCCACAAGCTGCGTGGGGGAAAACTGCATGCAGCTTGTATCTTCGGTGCTGAATACTGTCGGATCTTCCATGCAGTCGGTGGGGCTGATGCGTGCGAACATGTGGCGGATTCGAAGCTCACCGTGCTGACAGCGCCAAAGCATGGCTTGCGGTCGCTGCACCCGCCAAGGAAGCGAGCAGCCATCGACAGCCACACTGAACCCAGCAACATCAGCATCCGGCTGAAACTGAAGACAGAGCTCAGCCCCGGGTGCCAGCTCCACATCATGCTGCATTGTGCCCGAGCTGGCCAATTGCTCTGGCACGTCAAGCTGTAGCATGTTCTCAGTCCCGGCATCATCCCAAATGGTTATGAGTACCTTGGCATCTAGGCTAAAACTGGCCTCACACTCTACAAGCTGCACATCGGACGGTAGTTTCCAGCGAAGTGTGTCTCCCTCAGCATGGCCTGTATCCGAACCACTGTCACAGCCGGTCAGGATGAACCAGCCATCAGTAGATGAAAACCCTTCACCGCAGGACATATCCACTGAATTTTGTAAGGTCCCATCACGGACGGCCCATTGCACCCGAGGTTCCCCTGCGCCGCTTTCCACTTGTGAGGCTTTGGGGCTAGTTTCCACGATGCTTGCTTCTGCAGCACTCTGAAGCTGCAGCACCTTTTTCGGAAGGAGCTGAACGCAAGACACATTGGACATCTGCAAGGAGCCCCAGCTGGCAGGCCAAATCCGGCTTGCACCAGCCCCTAGCACGGAAACGGCAAATGCACCAGTTGGCGTCCTTCGAACGGCGAGCACACACTGATTTGAGGCATCTTGTCTGGCCGTTTCTTCTCCGGTTGATTCTTGTGCCGGCGCAGCTGGCAAGTTGGGACAACCGCAGAGCTGGTCATCAGGATTTCCACGACACAGCACAGCACTTGTGACATCTGCCATGATCGGTTCAACATGTGACCAACTTTCTCCCGAAACCCGAAGCAGTGCAGCATTTGGGATGGTCCGCATAAGAAGTACCTGGCCCAAGTTTTTCGACAACTTGTCATGCGGAATGACCGAGAGGTCTCCAACAACCCACTGCAAAATGCTCGCGTGCTGGGATATGCCACCGGGGAGCACTACGCGGACCAACACCGAAGAGCTCGAACGACAATAAATGGACATGTCGCTCCGTGATGCTGTCAAGAAATGCGAACCAGAGGGGCACCAGGCCAGGGAAACAACAGGAGAACTGCAATCGTACGTTCGACAAACACGGTGCTTGTCAAAGGACCATAACACCAAGGTTCCATCCCCAGTGGCCACTAACAACTCTGTCGCAGATTGAGGTACCACTGCCACGGCTGTGATTGGGCATGCCAAGTTTTGTGGCTTTTTGTAATTGTGCAAAGATGCAAACGAAATGCAATACGATCCCACGTGCGGCCGTTCGCCAGCATCAAAAACACGGACATCACCTTCGTCAGTACCGAAGAAAACCAGACACGCATCTTCGGCTGTTGCTGTGCATGTCACACCGAACCGCAGCCAGGCACTTTGAGGAGGTTGATGCCCACCTCCGCTCAGCTCCCACCATTGGGCCATCCAACTTGCGCTCTTGAAATGTCCCGCTGACGATGATGACTGCGGGGCCTTGGCTCGATCGGGAGGAGATGTAGCCACGCCCACCAACAAGATCAGACCAGGCCTCGGGAAGCTCAGAAATTCCGGCTGCAAGGGTGCAGCCGGATTCGTCAAAGTCATCTCATGTTCGTCCGAAACTAGCTTGACATGGCCAGCCGCTGTGCAGAAGCCGATCAGCCCGGCTCCCGGCAAATATGCTAATGTGCGGGGCACCAAGTTTGCAATTCCAAGCAACATTCCGTCATGCATCTGAAAACAGTCGGCTGATAAGCGGCCATCGTATGGTACCGCTTGGTTCGGATCTCCTTTCACAGCGTGAATGATCTTGGAAAAACCTTCCTTGAAGAATGCCATGGCATGAGCATGACTATACGTTTGCTCGAATCATCGGGACTAGCACAACAATCTATCACAACGGCAAACTGCATCGTTGCGGAACGGCAACCTAATTCCTCAGCAACACTTTGATTGATTGCTCTGCTTGGGTGTCATGAAGCTGGTAATTATTCTATGCACCTACTTTCTCAGCAACACTTCGATTGATTGCTTTGCTTGGGTGTCATGAAGCTGGTACGCTCTGGCAACGCTGCGACAAATGTTAATGCGTGGTACCGACGCGAGATGTTCACTAGCCTCCGCAACAATCACGTGTTGTCCATCTGTGTTGCGCTGCGGTAGTGTCCGGGCGGGATTGCCATACATGCCATGCTCGGGAAAGAGAGAGAGAGAGAGAGAGAGAGAGAGAGAGAGAGAGACAGAGAGAGAGAGAGAGAGAGAGAGAGAGAGAGACAGAGAGAGAGAGAGAGAGAGAGAGAGACAGACAGACAGAGAGAGGGACAGAGAGAGACAGACAGAGAGAGACAGACAGAGAGAGACAGACAGAGAGACGGACAGAGAGAGACAGAAAGAGAGAGACAGACAGAGAGAGACAGACAGAGAGAGACAGACAGAGAGAGACAGACAGAGAGAGACAGACAGAGAGAGACAGACAGAGAGAGACACAGAGAGAGACACAGAGAGAGAGAGAGAGAGACAAACAGAGAAAGAGAGAGAGAGAGAGAGCGAGAGCGAGCGAGAGCGAGAGAGAGAGAGAAAAAGAGAAAGAGAGAGAGAGAGAGAGAGATCGACTCCTGGCAGGAGACGGGCACCCGCGTTGTCTCCGCCCGCCACATACACCGGGAGCTCAATCACGAGGTCACTTCAAGTGGTGAGCCGGATCAGGATAGGTGACCTGTCCAGAGTGTCTGTCCCACGGGAAGCCATTACGGGTGCTGCTCCGTGTTGGTCCGCCGCTGTAACTGGATTCGTTGGACTCAAAATATACCGCGAATCAGGGAGCGCCATCGCTACGACCTGCTCCTCAGGATGAAGTCTTGTGCGAGAGTGCGTCCTTGCCTAGATAATCTGGCAAGTCGTCGTGCGGGGAGCCCCAATGCTGCGACCCGGGAGTGGGGAAGGGCAGCACCAATGCTACGACCCAGGGCGAGGGCGGGTGAATGTAAAGCGGGAAGCACCATTGCTACGATACGGTTGGATGCAAAACGGGGAGCACCACTGCTACCACCCGTGGAGGTGTAAGATCAAGTGGAGACCGTGCCACGATCTGGCTTCACAAATACCAAATTGCTGGCGTCCATTACGACAAGGGTCTATTGGCGGTCTAATCACGATTTCTCTAATGTGCCTGCAGGTCATATCCAATTCTGATCTCCCCCGCGGCAACCCTTCAGCTGGACAAAACGCGAACCTATGCAGGTAAGTACATTACTGTCACGGGCGTCACACCCTTGCATATCGCCATGTGCCTAGTGGACCCAATTCTGCGGAGCTGTCCTGTGTGTAGGCATAAAAGCAACTTAACTATGTACACCCTCCTGCCGTCCGTGTTGTTTGGAGGAATCAGGACGGATGCATGCAATTGAAACACGCGATGTCTGTGATCAGACTGAGCAGGACAACCCAAAGATCGAACAAAAACCCACCACCATGTGGGACAGGGGTATGGCAGCGGGGGTACGGCAATAATCCCTCAACCAGTAGTATCAGCTTGTTTTTTTCCAACACACCCTTTTCGCAACAGCACGAAAGCAACGGTCGAGGACGAGGATGGGTGTGCAGCGCCGCTGCGATGCACATGTCTGGCCAGTGTTCGGTGAGCACGTCGCTGAGGTCAGGGGGCGGGCCATCGACATTGGCAGCGCCGTGCATGGAGCAGTGACAAAAGCGAGGCTGCAAATGACCTGGCAGCCGCAAAAACGAGAAATCCAGACCATCGCTGCACCCACGCTGCGGTGCTGCTGGCATGCGGGCGGAGGGGTGCAGACCGTGCTCGGCTGCGGGAGAGGAGTCTCACGAACTAAACTGCCTCAGCGCTCCAATGTCCGGCGCGGAGCGCGCGAGAGCTCAGGGTGCGTGCGCTCTTTGCTGGCGCGCAATGCGCAAAGCTGCACCGACCGTGTTGCGCCGGTGTCGCCGCGGGCGGCCCCGCGCATCGAGGGCCGAAACGAGGGTAGTGTGGACGACGAGCTCGTGAAAACAGCCACTTACTTTCTTAAAGTAAGTGTTTCTACCGCGCGCATGTTGCGGTAACGGGCAATGTGTACGCTGAACCAGAGAACCGGAACGCGGAAGGAAATTCGGAGGAACAAGAGGAAAGCTGGAGGAACACCAAAGCGCCTCAAAGGGAACCAAGCAGTCCAAAAAGTTGGCAGACTTGCATCGTAGAGGCTCTTCAAGGCTGGAAAAAAATTCCCAAGTTCCAGTTGTTTGCGGAAGAACTGGATGGAGAGTGGGAAAGAAAGGCTCAGTGAATCAATGGCTCAGAAAGTGCTTCTAAAGAAAATTCTTCTCGTCATCATGCTTTTATTTTTCAAATCAACTTTATGACAAGTTCTTTGAGGGTGTTTTGTAGGTTCTCTCAGTGCTTGTCACGATTTAGGGTGGTTATATGTGGTTATGACTTCTCCGTTGCAAAAATGTCATGATCTTGACTTTTTCGTTTTTCAGAGAGAGAGAGGCGAGTCCGGAAACGACCGTGGGTCACGGTCAGAGAGCAACTACGACAAGCATGCTGGTTCGTCAACCACCACGAACAAGCCAAGAACAACCAAACAAACAAACCAACACCCAAAACAAAGTCTGGAACCAAGCATGCTATGAACAACACATTAACACCAAATCACTGAGTTCGGAACCAAGCATGTTGCACATCATATCAACGGAACCTGTATGTACAAACCGGGTTCAAAAATTCGCGCTCAGAAGTATGCTGTCACATCTCACATGCTTCGGCGGCTATGCACACATCCGCAACGAAATCAATGTTGTTCGTGATGTCACGGAATGTGTTGACATTTCCATCTGTGGAGAATAAGACGTGCAAAGATAATGCATGTCGAGACCGGCTGGCCCACCTTTGTCGCAAAACATTGTGTGCAGGGCAGTCAAACAAAGCATGCGCCAAGGAGTCAACGCTGCGGGCACAGAAACGGCAAGGGCAATTGATCAAGGAAGCACTAAGTGCCCGATGTCTGGCTGCACGGCCATCAGCAAAAGGGTGATGGCCGCAGCGTGCCAATCCCCAATATCGCGCTCGATGTGTTGCAACTGCGGGTCCATAGACAGCGCGGTGCAAGGCGGGCCTGGGTTGCCAACAGGCATACTGCTGGAAGGAGCTGCATTCTTGAAGCAAAGAAGCATAATGCCGGTCGGCGTGCCGCGTTAACAACGTTTTCACGGTGCGAAGCCAGGGCTTAATCGAAGTTGCAGGGCTACCAAAGTGGATACCGTAAGCATGCGGAGGCGGGACTCCGAGCAAGGAGAGCTCGCCCAATACTTCACGGACCCACGATACAGGCTGGTTCAATGCAAATTGTGCGAGCTGCGCAGCAAAGCAATGAGGAGGAAGGCAGAGTAAACGTGCGCAAAGGCCTGCTGCTTGAGAGAGGCGCAAGGTGTCGGCATCATGCCAACCAAGTTGGCCCTGGACAGCAACACGAGGGCTGCCATGCGGCCAAGTAAGCAACCGTCGACCCCATTTTATTAAGCGAGCTTGAAACCGGCGAATTTGAGCACCTTGTGGTACAAACTCCAACCCGAAACAAGCAGACGGTCGCACGTAGGAATGGAAAATGCGCTCCACGAAGAAGTGGTTGACTGTGTCCATGAAACACAGGCAGCAAGTTTACGCTCACCCAGGCATAAAAGTTCATCGATGTGTTGTGTCCACCCCAAGCGTTCATGGAGAGTGATACCTAAGTAAGTGTACGTACTGACACGTGGAAGGACATGCTCACCAACATGGAAGCGGACGTGCTGTGTACCAGCACGGCGTCGCCCAAACACGACGAAGGCGGATTTGTTAGGACCAATGCTGAAGTGGAACCTCCAGGCATTGGCCCAATCCCGAGCTGCATCAAGTCCCCGTTGCAGGTCAGCAGGGCTATCACTTAAAATGACGATGTCATCGGCATATAACAAAACCTGTAGGCGCGGTGCCCGGCGGTCAGGGCCGCATGACACACCCCTACAAGCACGCTTAATGGCGGCGGCAAGCCCGTTGATGAGTAAATTGAAGAGGAAACCACTCAAAACAGCACCTTGCCCTACCCCACTTTCCACATCCCACGACTCCGAAGCACATGATCCGATACGTACTGCAGCGGTTCGGTCACTCACCAAATCATCCACCAAATGCCATAAGTGAGTGGGGATGCCCGCCCTATACAATTTTAGAAGTGCAGCATCGCGCCAAGCTACATCGAAAGCTTTCCGGAGGTCAAGAAAGGCGCAGAAAGTTCGGTAGTTTTTGCGCAATCGAAGCGTCTCCCACAACGTATAGAATTGGACATCAGATCCCCAGCGAAATCCTGCTTGGGAGGGGTCGAGCTGCAAGTCTACTGCCGGTCTAATGCGGTCTAAAACCATCCTTTCCAACGTTTTTGCAAAGCATGAAGTCAAAGTTATGGGCCGATAATCATTACGCTCAGTGGCACTGATGTTTTTGGCCATTGGGACTACCACCCCGTGCTTCCAAATGGACGGCACGCAACCATATAACCTGCATAGCTCAAGAAAATTGAGAACGGCATGCTGCCACCACGAAATGTCGACACATAGTGCTCTGTATGGGATCTTATCGCAACCTGGGGCTTTGTCCAACGTGCAGTGTTGCAATGCAGACCTGAGTTCAGCCAAAGTGAAGGGGACAGAGCTACTGTCACCAACGGAAGGGTCGAGAGGGTGTTGTGCATCCCGTGTTGCACGAACACGATCGACCCGCCTGTTGACACGACGAAAATGCCGAACAGCAAAAGCATCAGAATGGAAAGATGCAGCATCACGAAAATGCTCAC